AAAGGTCAAGGACGGGGTGGCCCATTGTTAAGAAGGCTGTTGAAAAATTACATCAAATGGAAAGGCGGAATAGTTAAAGTCAACAAAAATTTATTTCAATCGGCAAAGGAACCGGTCACGAGCGAAGGTACTCAAAAAGAGGATAACGGCTCAAAACCTACGGGTGAACTTCAAAACCAATTTAAACGTGGACAACCACCTCCAAATAAACGCAGACGTGTTCGTGGCGGATCGGTGACTGCCGCGTCATCGTCACGTGCATCAGTGTCAACTATAGAGGAAGAAGCTAAAGAAATAGTGAGTTTCATTGATTCCGTTACCGATGAAGTTACAACAGCCACCTCTAGTGAAATTATCAATACACACGAATCGCACTACGACGATGAGTTTGATTTAGAAGCATTTTCGACGCATTTTGGAATACTTCCGATGCAGTCATTAGTTATTATTCGGCCAATTTCCGGCGAAGATGATGACAAAATCTTGGAAGCATTGAAGCCCAAGTACATTGTTATTTATCATCCAGACCAGGGAATTGTGCGACGTGTCGAGGTATTTCGTGCTACGCATCCAGGAATAGCCTGCAGAGTTTACTTTATGATGTACCAAAATTCAGTGGAAGAACAAAGTTATTTGAGTTCAATAAGAAGGGAAAAAGAATCTTTTGAAAGATTAATTCATGAAAAATCTATAATGGCCATCCCTTTAGGTAAAAAAAGAATAATTCCTAGTGATCATTCCGAAATGTTTATGAGAACAGTGGATACACGTATAGCAGGCGGTGGAAAGTTGGAACACCGAGTCCAAAGGTCACCTAAAATAATTGTAGATATCCGAGAGCTTCGGAGCTACTTGCCATCGCTTCTTCATGCACACGGAATAGAAATTGTTCCATGTACCCTACAAGTCGGAGATTATATCTTATCACCACATATCTGCGTTGAAAGAAAATCGATATCAGATTTGGTAAAGAGCTTTATCACTGGGAGATTATACACACAATGCGAATCAATGTCGATACATTATAGGCAGCCAATATTGTTGATTGAGTTTGATCAAAATCAAACATTCACCTTTCAAGCAATAAACGATTTGAAATCTGATATAAATGTCAATGATATTTCTTCCAAACTCGTATTACTTACTCTAACATTTCCTCGAATGCGTATAATCTGGTCCTCTAGTCCTCATTCTACTGTTCAAATTTTCGAGGACTTAAAACAACTACATGATGAACCCGAACTTGAAAAAGCTCAGTCAATCGGAAATGATGATGATGAGGTTTTCATGGA